CGGTCTTGCCTTTTCGATATTTGCGCGACAGTCAAAAGTATCGTCGAATGGCGATGGCACTACTCCCGTATAATGGATTTTCGGCAGACAGCCGCACAAAGGAAGCGGAAACGGGCCGTGTGCTACGGGCGTGTGGGCGGACGAGTTATTCCGTTTCGTTATTTCGCGATAAATCGTATCGATTTCTCGTCGATTATGATTCGCTTGTAAATCACGCTCGTTGCCGACCAGCGCGGGGTCAGCCAGTCCAGCGAGCCCATAAATCGCGAAACGAAATGAAAAGAGTGCGGCTACCGCTACGGCGCGGGACGGGACGGCGGGATGAGAGCGCGGGGCTCTGCCCACACCGCGTCGGTCGGTGAGGCAGCGAATTAAAAAATAAAAAGGAAAGTTTGATGCGCCAATTCCCCCTAACGAATTGCGGTGCACTGTGTGTGCACCATAGCGAGCCCGAATGCGCTCGCTCGGGTATTTGCGACGCAGTCCGGAGCCGCGCGGTCTCGTCGAGCTTTTCGGCGACGACGGCATTTAAGCACAGCGCGACGGGAGTAAAACGAATCGTTTGTCGCTTTAAATATTCACACCCGCTTTTTCCACGTACGCGAGCCTCTTTTCCTACCGGTCTCGTCGGCAGGTAGCCAAATTTCGTTTTAGCCGTACGATTCTGCGAAAGTAAGACTTTTATTAGACAGATCACGAACCACACGTTGAGATTAAAGTCGTTTTTACAAATTGACAAAACTTTATTTTATAATTATGAAATTAGAAGCTCGGGGGCTTTGAAATTTTCTCTTTATTTAATCAAAAAGATGAAAAGATTTTTGTTTTACTTTTTCCATTTTTTTTTAATGAGTGCTGCAATTTGAACGTTTTCGAAACTTCATTTTTTAATTTTCGTTTAATATAATGTTTGTCCTCGCAATTTATTTTAATTTGTCTCAAAATAAGAATATGGTCTTAATTACGTTTGTTAAAAATATCTTTATGAAGATAAAAATCTTTCCTGATTCAAATATCTTCAATTCATATGTTATTGTTAATATTGGCAATATATCGGGCATCAAAGGACTCGGTACAGATTAAATCGTTAAATCGTTTGTAACAGACAGTTTTATAATTTAACAATAGTTTGCACGAGAACGATGAATAACGAAATTTATTATTTATCAATTTATTACATATCGGATTATAGAAATTGTTACTGTGATGTTATTATATTGTAATTTCCAATGATCTTTTTTGATATACAACATACAGTATTAAATAACGATATAAATAATTGATCTTTGAAACTCGATATTATATTTTCAATATATTCTTATGGTATTTTTAGATTTATGACGATAATTTTCCGATAATTTTAAGAGTGCCAGATTATATATTGATTTTATTTCTAAACTTTTCTTCGAACCTTTAATTTTTTTGTATTCTTATTCCTCTAAATTTTTAATTTGTTTGTATTAAATACAAAAATGTACGTCGTAACATCTCTCTTTGACAAAAATTTAGTGAGATTTTTAGCAGAAAGATTGAAAGTAATATCCTAAAATAAGAGTGCATTAATATCCACGCAAGCCGCTTTGAGAGATATTTTTCATTAACTGGAATTGCACGATCCCTCCGCAGGAAATGCAGCCAGGAAATTCCGAAGCCGATCGATCGTCATGACGGAATAAGAGACGAACGAAAAAAAGGATCGGTTGGTTCTTTTTATATGTATATATAGGTAATATATGTATAACGTTAAATCCGATGCAGACGTGCGTAACGAAGGCAATAGCTTATTTTGATAACTTTTAATCTGAAACTTGTCTTGCTTATTGCGAGGGTTCTCACGAGCCGTTCCTTTCGCTATGCATTTTTCTTTTGTCAAGAATACTCTACTACAAACTTTCACAATATATGACATTTATCCTATGATATTTTCGACAATAAATTGCGTATCGATACATTCGCTACAGGATTTCGAGATAGAAAAGCAGACTGCAGCAAAATATCAAAACGGTCGAGTAATCCAAAGACTTTGTAAATACTTTTTTTCCGTAAATATTTGGTACATCATCTTTTTCCATTCAGCACAATGTTGAATTGCTTATCGTTTATTTTCTCATCTCTAACCAAACGTTACGTCCGCTCCAAATAAAAATAAACATTATTGCAAAAACAAAGATTGCGCAATACTTCCGTAGTTCTCAATCAAATGAAAATTATTATTTTGATAAATTACATTTATATCTTGTTGCGATAATAAACAAGCTTTGTGTAAATATGAGATAAAAAGAAACGAAAAATGATCTATTGTTCGCTGCACAGGGAATAAGAATAATAATTTTCGTCGATGTGATAAGATTATACGCCGAGTATTTCTGAATAAACTACTTTCCGCTGTGCGTTATTTACGCAACTGACATTCGATTGATATTTCCTTCTCTTTGCGATAACTGTAAATTGAGTTGCCAAGGGAATATCGATGCTTTTCGAACTTGCACGGCGTTTCCTAAGCTGTTTTATATTTGTGGGAGGGATGGGAGCACGGGCGCATGAGGTTGACGGGAGCACGGTTGAAAAGGGTTGAAGATGGTGGCTAAGGCTAGTGACAGGTGACTGATGAAAGCTCTCCGGCCCGCAACTACATTCGGGAGTACGCATCAGGATCGTTCTCTTCCGTCAAACGCGTCTCTTTCGCGTGTTAGTGGAACTCGAACCCGACTGGAGCTTCCTTCGATTCGCAACCATTTCCGCTGCCTTTTCGATTTCTTTTCTTTTCCATTACATCTTTAGTCTATTGATACCTTAAAATTAAGTTCTCCTCGCTGCGTATCTTATAAAAACTCTCGTGTACTTGAATGAACTGAAATTTTACTTTATCTCGTATCGACATACATATATAACAATTGATATTTATATCCAGATTCTGGATTTATTTCTATTTTTGTACTTTTAATATTGATTACATAATAAACTTTTTTTTATTTCGGTGAAATTTATATTCGGCATCACAGCATATGTATATTACGCGAGAAAGATATCGCAAGTAGAATTGAGGCGATGGACATTTAATGTTTACATCATGTTTCTACACGGTTGATCGATTATTGCTTAACATTGTTTCATGCAATGATAGGTTTGATCGTTATCGGAGCAAGGTGATATGCTGGGATGTTCTTCTCATAGGGAGAAGAATTAAAAATTCGATAATTATATTTTCTACAACACGTCGTTAAAGTGCCGCAGAAAGTGTCAAGCGTGCACATTTACTAATGTTTAAGGTTACAGGTTGCACGAGTATAATAATACAAAGCGTCGAATAATAATATTAAAGCATTGTATGAGTACTTTACACATTATATGAAGTGGATAAGGAAGATTTAATTTTGCCATGTAGTTTTTGTACTCTTGAAGCTTTCTTCAAAAGCAAGCTTTTAATCTTCACCGTGTGTAACTTACAAGCTTTTTATCTCTGAGCGTCGCAATGATGATAAAACGCTTGCGATAAAAATAATTTTTCTGTACGGCATTAACAAACTCGCGATAACGATTATGCGAGGGACGATAATGAAAGAGTGTGTATCATCAAGATCGGGAGTTGATACGCGCGCGCGTAATTACGTGATACGATCGGGCGCGAAATAAGTTCGGTCCGCGGCTGCGAAGATGAGCTCGTCATTAGCCATCACGCCGGAGGCAGCGAACATTTTGCATCGCGCTCCGAACGTCAAGCCGATTATGTTCCGCGTCACCGCCACAAGCGAGGCCGTAATTGGGGACCGCGTTATCCGGTCAATCGTGAACGCCAGCGGCCGGCGCATTTTTAGCGCAAATCAGCGGTATGTGGAATCGAACCTCTGACGAGCATGGCGAGGGGTGGCGACGACCCGCTTTACGCAGGGGATGACGTTTGACGTGCATGCAATAGCTGCACGGCCTATCGGTTATTGCTTAATGCTGTTTCACGTGCAGCGAGCCCGATATATATGGTTTCATTATGCTTTTACCGGTGGATAAGACCCTTTCACGCAGCATCCTGTTACGCATAGCCCAATGCTGGAGTGATTTAAATATAATATATACATTTTTTTACTTAAAGGTCCTGTTATCTGCGAATTTTGTACGCTGCATAAGTCAAAAGTGAAATACAGAAGTTATTTGAATGTTATGATAGTGGTATTCATTATCAAGAGAATTTATTATTATTAATTATTATATAAATGATTAAACAATATACAAATAATGTAAATACTATTATATTAATCAATATTTATTCACCAAAATTGTAGAGTTCAAAAATTAGATTTAACTAGAAATTAATAAACACACAGAGATCCAAATGAAATACGCATTTGAGTAGCTTAAATAATGATTTATATAAATATAATTAATTTTTTTTTCTCACAATCGGAGATTGAAGATTATTCATAATTGTGAATAATGGCTTAATTTTTATTTAATGATCTCATTAGTACATTTTTGCGCTTATTTAAAGTCTCATTTTTCTTATGTATTTTAATCATCTCCAAGTTATCTTGGTTAATATATCTCATTATAATGTCGCGCACAATTATAATAAAAGGTCATCTATGTGGCGCAAAGACGTGAAGTTAGGCGCGTCACGTGATCGAAATCGCGCCTGCGTATATTCGCTGATCAGTTTACGTCGAGCAACGTTGTTGAATGGTAGAGTCGCGATCATTTCGCATGTTTTTACACGTCCCAAACGAATATCGCGCGGAAGAACAAATGTCGGCAAATCAAATCCCGGGCCGCGGGATCAATCGGAACGCGCGATTCCTCGCAGCGTTCGATACAATCGATACGTAGCAATGATAATTCGTCCGTCGTGTCCGTCTTGACCGCCATGTTTACTCCCAACACCATGCCGTGCCGATTCTCGGAATTATCACGCGCGAGCCAGGTTGCGACGATTAACTTAATAGACGTTCAATCTGCACTCCAGACGCCGCGCCGCTGTGCCGTAATCGTATACTCCATAACCATAGCTTCATAACCTCTTCGTCCTCTTCGATCGTCTATCCGAAGAGGTTGTTCGTCACACGCGCGTTTTGCATTGTACGATCGAGTGTGTGTGTTGGGACTGGAACGTCGCACATACATGTACACGGTCGTTTTAATCTATCAATCCGATCCTTTTTTCCACGTCGATCGCGTCTCGTTGTGATAACATGTTGACACGCGTATCGCATTATCCTGCGTGTTTCGCGTTATTCGTGAATATGATCGAGCAGCGCGAGCTTATCCGCGAGTGCATCGAGGACCTGGAGCATCGAGAACTTGGAGCATCGAGGACCTGGGAGCATCGCAGATCTGGAGCATCGAGGAATCATCGTAACGGATCAATCTAAATGCTGCTGGTCTGGTGATAATCCGTAAATATTTATTATTTGTATACTTTACTTCGTTTCTCTATTTATCCTTATTTTATTATTTTTTTTGAGAAACAAAAAATTACCTTATAAATTTCAATAAAATGAGAGCTTTGAGATACACGTTTGCATTTGGAAGAATTGAAAGTACTTTGGTCGCTCTCATGTATGCATATTTTATATATTGCATTTGTCAGTTTCTATTTTTATCATTGGTGCATTCGAAAAATATGCGCCCGATCTCGCAGAGAAAAAATTGGGATGAAGTTTATCGTCGTTGAGTCGCGCATTTATAGGTAAAATTGATATCGATTTCGCCAATGTGTTATGTTGAAGCACAGCTGTCGTATATTGGGTAGAGAGTGTATTAAAAAACTAAGAAAATCTCCAGAGATCTCCGGGAAAAGTTAAAGAAAGAGATCGCGATCCGTTACGTTAAGTGTCAGTTTCAAAGACATTTGGAGATTCTCACATTATTTTCATGATATTATATGCGAATGACATAAATTCCTGAGGTTAATATTAAAATATTAGTTACGGGACAGATAATAATATTGGAATGTAACTGTATTGTTAGCTTATCCACGCGTATATTATCGACAGCACGATATTTCGCGTCAATTCATCTGGAGTGCGTGTTATGTACGTGTACGTGTAGGTGGATGTTGTTTAAATAAAATATGTCAGAGCGCGCACAGATTCGTATACTGCGAGGGTGCGCAGTTTTACGGAGCAATGAAAATTACGTCAATCTATTTGCCCGTGGCAGATTTACGATCAACTGATATTTAACTTGCATACGTAGGCATTGTATTTTTTACAATTTCCTATAACGAATACGCTATAAATCGGAGTGGATTAATCTTTCGAATTCTGGATATTTTTCTAATCATCTCAGGCATCGACATCACCCGCAGATAGACTTGTATTAATTAATGAATAAATAAATATGTATATTTCTATATAAAAAATTTTCATAACTCGCCATATAAAAATATTTTAGTAAATGAGTAGCAATAAACATGGTTTTTATTGTTTATAATAATTTTTTTCTACCTTCAAAAATGCGTTTACAAAATTTTTTTTTTGAGTGACTGCTTGCAACAATCGGTAACACGACAAAATAAAATTTTATTTAACAAAGTGAGCGAAACCGAACAAGGTTATCTTATATGAAATTGCAATATGTATGCATATTGCTACACGTGGAAAATTAAGAGACACTTTAATTTTCAGAACTTTAGAAAAAAACGTTAATTTTAGATTGCTATGAAATACATAAATGCGTTGCTACGAAATAAAAAGTTTGAAATTATATATATATATATGTATATATATATATATATATATATATATATATATACGTATATACATATATATATTTGCATCTGCAATTTATGTGTGTCGATGTAATCGCCGCATTAAATTAATGCGGATATTAAATTTTATCGTGAAACTGTATTGCGGAATTAGTCAGGTTGTCGCAAAAGAGGAAAATTTAGGTGACGCATACTATTCAAAGATGACATATATTTCCTCTTGCAAAGTCTCTTCCGTGTAATAATTTTTCGTACCACCGCGCGTACTTTATTTTCTTTCCGGAGCTTTCGCAGTTTTTGATAGATTGCGACTTGTTGTGAAATTGGGTCGTGGGGGACGTACGAAATCTTGTCGTTTATTTTAACTAGAAAATAATCGCAATGTACTTTGTTCAAAAAAACTTTTGCTTCTTATCTTGTTTCGTTCACATACTACTACTATTATTACTACTACTACTTATGATTATTGTCAACGGATTGGCAATGAGTGAAAAACGGTCTTGCGGATATCACATTTTTTTCCTTGTTTTGCTCTGTATATCTCAACTTTCCGCACTACTGACTTACGCGTCGATCGAATTTCGATCGTTTCGCTTCTATCTGTATGATTTTTTGTTATCTTAGGCACAGAGATTTCGTATTTTCACGGGAACAATGCGAGAGTGCCGAAAAGTGCTGTTACGATAGTATAACCCGATTTTTTAACCATCGATAAAACTCAAAACTTTTGTCAGAAATTGCGTGTATAATTTATTTCTTTCTCTCTTTTTCTTCGCGCGCGCGCGCGTGTGTGTGTGTGTGTGTGTGTGCGTGCGTATGGCTATATTAAATCTTAAAAGCTGAAACAATCGAACACAAAGTTTATCATAGTAGATTTTATGAAATGTTATTTAAAAAAACAGTACTTTTTTATTTTACGACAATATGGAGATGAATTAATTTTAAACAAATAAAACTCACGAAATAACAGTTTATCTGTTTGTTACTATAAGTTTGAGAAATTTATTCAACTTTACTCTTGATTGTGCCGGATTAACTATGTGGCCGCGGACTTTTTTCTTTTTTTTTTTCTGTGGCGAGGAATAGTTGCACTGCAATTTTCGTGTTGGCAGCAGTTTTAACGGCCTTGTATTGTATTGCGCCAGCGTGTGTCGCCATTGTCGTTTCTACATCGTTTCACGAATTACTTCGCACCATGCAGGTAATTCCCGGCTCGTACGTCGAATTGGGTCACGCGTTTGTTCCAGAGAGCTGGAGCAACGGGCGGGTCCCCGTCCGCACGGAATTTCCATACTGTAAAGTCGTGAGGGAACGGCTGCAGGGGAGTAGGGAAAGCGAGCGCGTTATCCATGGCAGAAGGCGCGCGCGAAAGAATGGCGCGCCGGCATTACGACTTATTAAATTCAGCCGCCTTCGTCCCTTCGTCCTCGGTCTCGGTCACTCGGCGCGAGCCCTTCCGTTCCGTACGTAACGTACGTTCTTCCATCCTTTGGCATCTTCTCACTCCACGTCGCTCTTGCGTAAACTTACCGTAATTTTATGGCGATTATCCGCATATATATCCCGTCCGCCGTGACCGCGCGCGACGTGACGTTAATTACAATCCGGACTTTAATTTCAAACGGATGCGATTATTAGAATAAGCCGCGCCGCAGAGCTCGCAGTACGGCGTGCGTTATTGCGGCATGTAATTATACATATATAACATTGTGGCTCCTCTTGGGAAACGTTCTAAGATGATTGTAGGTGGACAGGTGGTGTACGGTAACGATTCATCACTCGTGGACCACAGATGTGTGCAGGATTAATTTCTGTGATTCTGCAAGAATCGAAAAATCAAAGATCGATGTTTTGATAGTCGTTATTGTAAACTTAATTTGGCCTATTTTGTCGCTTTTTTATATCTAATGTTGTTATTTTTTGTTCAGAATAACGAAATTGACTCATTTAATTTAATGACATGATAATAGAACGAATCATCTGTAACTTTGCATTCGATTACATATAACATTTTTCAATAGAAACTTTTCGAAATAGGAATTTCAAAATGTGTTCTTTTCTTATTCTTTATTGTGTGTTTCAGTCTTTTAATTGATTATTAAATTATTTACACTTACATGACATCCGAGTTGTATAATAACATTTGACATAAATTTTTATTTATTCGACATGCGGCGGGATAGTCGCGATGATAACTTATGCATAATAGTAGACCGACGAGATACATATATAGTTTCATTTACATTAACGTAATTTTCGCTTCCAACCAGCAGTTGCGCGTTCGCATGCTTTAATTGGGGAAACAGTCCTCTGCGTGCTAACGAAGCTACGGAGCCGTAAGTAACGGTAACAAGTAGCGGTTAAGTAGTAACAACAATATGAAAGTCTCCTCGAGGCAGCTTTGGCAGTTAAATGTTTGCAGTGCAGTCGGCCTGTCAGACTGCAGATACGGGTTTTACTTTACGTGTCTCCGACAGCTTGCTTGCAACATCCTCTATTTCCGTTGCCTGCGTGGTTTTCTCTCTCTTCAACTTGTACACGTCGCCGGCTGTCTCTCTCGTCTGTTTCAGCCTTCCTCGCTCGTTCCCTACCGCGCACGACAGCGGTTCCTCTTTGCACGGCGGAGCCTCGCCCATGCAAGGCTAAGTACATACGCGACCGTACTGCCTCTAAGCCAGTCTCGCGTTAACTCAGTCGAGTCAATATTTAAGTCAAACTAGTTCTCCCCTCTTAAATTAACGATTCACATCGGGCTGCATCTCAATGGTCCGCCACGGGTCCGCTTCACAAGCTCGTTCGGCTGTCGGCTTGCCAGTAGCTTTCTATTTTCCATCGAGTACCTCTCTCCAGCTGGGATCCAGTCTCTTATTTAGGAAACAAGTCGCCGCCGTCCCGGCTCTTTTATCGAGTTCGCCATCCTCAAACTCAATACATCATCAAAATCTTTCAGATACAATCAATTATATGTAATTGTAATTGCATGTTTTTTCTACATTTCTTTGACAAACTCATAATTCTACCTTCTCGAATTTGCCTCCTTCGTGGCAATCGTGTTTATGTTGTTTTTCGAATCATCGACGCGTGCGATGTATAATTCGGAGGATTGCTCGTCCCCAGCGTTTCGGCACCCCTATCGTTATCGCCGACGAAATGTTTTGCTAACGGCAGAAACAACCGCAATAAAAGTGCCATCGGCCGAAAGAGCGTAAATAGTAATAATAGCGGCGAGCCCCGTACCGATAGAATAGAACTCGGCCGACCGTACGCGATACAATGCGATGCACAACGCAACGCACAGCTTCGCCGTCGACGGTCGGAGCGTACTCACGACATTACCACTGAATTATGCACGCGCCCAACCCTCGCCCTCGCCGCGGCGCGGCGCGGCGCGGCGTCGGCCTCTCAAACGTCTCTGAAGATCCTCTCTTCTTGGCGGTTTCTGGGAACGTCCGGGGTGCGACGTAGGGTAGGGACCGAGCAGGACGGTAGATTGGGGTGGGTTCTTTCGTGGAATATTCAGCCGCGCGGCGGAATGCAAACGGAGGAGCCGAAACGTAAACCTTACGACGTTCTCGAGAAGGGGGAAGCATTTGCTTACGTGCACTTAACGCGCTTCTAGAAACGGCCGAGCCGAATTGAGCTGAGCTGCGCGTGAATACATATGTACGAGACCGTACTGTGGTT